CTGGCCGCGGCGTGGCTGGCGCAGCCGCTGCGCGGCGGCTACCCCGGCATGAGCATGTTCGCCGTGCAGACGGCGCAGCCCGACCCCTGCTACGACGAGCACGGGCTGCCCCGCCGCTGCATCCCCGACTTCGTCAACTCGGCCTTCGGCAAGGAGGTGAAAGTGTCGAGCACCTGCGGGAAGCCGCCGTCGCGCTACTGCGTGGTCACGGAGAAGGGCGAGGAGCAGCTCCGCTCCTGCCACCTCTGCAACGCCTCCGACCCCAAGCGCGCCCACCCGCCCTCCTTCCTCACGGACCTCAACAACCCGCACAACCTGACGTGCTGGCAGTCCGACAGCTACGTGCAGTACCCGCACAATGTCACCCTCACGCTGTCCCTCGGCAAGAAGTTCGAGGTGACCTACGTGAGCCTGCAGTTCTGTTCGCCGCGCCCCGAGTCCATGGCCATCTACAAGTCCATGGACTACGGGAAGACCTGGGTGCCCTTCCAGTTCTACTCCACGCAGTGCCGCAAGATGTACAACAAGCCCAGCCGCGCCACCATCACCAAGCAGAACGAGCAGGAGGCCATCTGCACCGATTCACACACCGACATGCGGCCCCTCTCCGGCGGCCTCATCGCCTTCAGCACCCTGGACGGCCGCCCCACGGCCCACGATTTCGACAACTCGCCCGTGCTGCAGGACTGGGTCACGGCCACCGACATCAAGGTGACCTTCAGCCGCCTGCACACCTTCGGCGACGAGAACGAGGACGACTCCGAGCTCGCCCGCGACTCCTACTTCTACGCCGTGTCCGATTTGCAGGTCGGTGGCCGCTGCAAGTGCAACGGCCACGCATCACGCTGCGTGCGCGACCGCGACGACAACCTGGTGTGCGACTGCAAGCACAATACGGCCGGCCCCGAGTGCGACCGCTGCAAGCCCTTCCACTACGATCGGCCCTGGCAGAGGGCGACGGCCCGGGAGGCCAACGAGTGCGTGGGTGAGTGGCTGCTGCGAGGGCGCGCTGGGGACACGGTCACGCGCGGGCGCCGGACGGGACGAGGGCATCGAGGGACTCAGAAGTGCAGGGCAAGGCGGAGGACCCGGGACACGGTAGAAGCGCACGGCAGGGGATGTTAAGGGATGCGGAGCTCAGGGTAGGCGGGCATTCGGGGACACGGAGAGCAGTGCAGGAACATCCAGGGACGCAGAAAGCAGGTCAGGACGAGGACACTGAGGTACGCAGAAATTTATGACAACAGAGGGGACGCCAAGACACCCTGAAGCACTGAGCGGGGGATATCAAGGCACTTAGAAGCTCAGGACAAGACACACCGAGTCACTAGGGAACTCAGGGCAGGGGACACCGTGGCGCAGGAGCTCAGGGCAGGGGACACCGAGGAACTCGGAGACGTAAGAAGACGGAAACCGAAGGACCCGGGAGGGCAAGGCAGGGGGTACCGAGGGTCCCGGGAGTGCAGAGCAGGGGACACCGCAGGAGTGCCGGGTTGACGACATCACGGGGCTCTGGGAGCGCGGAGCGGGGAACAACGAGCAACTCGGAAGCTCGGGGCAGGAGACACCAAGACATTTGGGAGCTCAGGACAGGGCAGAGAGGGTCGCGGGAAGGCAGTTTTTGCGCGAAAACACCCAGAGGTGGGCCGAGGATCCCTGGCTCGCTAGGAAGGGTGTCTCCTGCTGACTGGAGGGCAGGCAGCCCCGGGAGCCGAGCGGGGAGCGCTGCTCCCTCCCGGGCTCGGAGCCGGCGGCGGAACCCTCGCGTCGGGGCCAGGGCGCCTGAACAGGCGGGCGGGCTCAGATCCCCCTCGGAGAT